GTTGGTCCTTCGTGCGGCGCAAACAACGGAGAAGCGATCTCGCGTGCAAATACAAACATGCAGCAAGATGTGTGAAGTCGGTTTCCGAATTCTCTCTTAGACGTAGCCTGGTTTCCGTCAGCGGATGCGAGTCAATGAAACTAATTTCAAATCGATTCTGACATCTATAGCGTATTTAGCATATTAGGCGACAATGTAATCACTGTTAGCCACATTTCCAGACATTTGTATAGCTTGTTATGATCATATCTGCTTTTTATTACGTTATTGCTGTGTGGGGGCGTCGCCATGATTTTTCAAGGTCGGGGACTTGTGCAGTGTGGAGTCAAAACGTCGTATAGCGCGTCATGGGTGCTCGTGTGGGCGCCGTGTGCTTGTCATTTTGTGTCATCTTGAAGCACTAATTCCGATTTAAATTCCGTTGGCAGTAAACAAGTCTCTCGATTCGCGCGTAAATTCAAGTCGGTTAACTGAATTACGACGACATCTAATAGATTCTCCTTCTTCTTCTAATGGAATCATAGTAATTTGTCTACTAATCTATCTCTCGCTACATCATCATCGACGGCTCATGAATAAACAGCCTAATGTTGCAGAGATTATTCCGCCATTATTGGGTGCGCCATGACCATTACGTAATAAACTTGCTATGATAGTTGCGATTCATCTACCAGCGCCCATTGTCAAGTGCAGTACCAGGAACGCACGCGCTCACTCAATCTGCATAGTATGTCTCGAAGGATGTCGTGAAGATTTGCGGGCGGTCGTACCAATGTGCGCATATGCACGCACGCGAACGCACGCGCGCGTAATTGCAGCACTATGGTGATATAATGGTGTGATTGGCAGCGACTGGGGAGAAGCCTAGGTCATCCGCCACCACCACCTAATAACCACCGCTCTCTCTCTCTCTCCTTCGCTCTCTCTCTCTCTCTTTCTCTCTCTCTCTCTCTCTCTCTCTCTCTCTCTCTCTCTCTCTCTCTCTCTCTCTCGCTCGCTCTCTCACCCCCTCTATCTTTCTCTCTCCCTACGCTCTCACTGTCTCTCCCTCTACCCTCGCTCCATCTCTCGCCATCTCTCTTCCCCACCTTCCCCGTATCTCTTTCGCTGCTCTGCTCCCGCTCTCTCCCTCCCTCCCTCCTCTCTGCGCTCCTCTCTCTCTCTCTCTCTTCTCTCTCTCTCTCTCTCTCTCTCACTCTCTCTCTTCTCTCTCTTCTCTCTTGCTCGTCCTCCCTGCTGCCTCCTGGGACCCGCTTAAGTTGCTTTCTCATATTTCTACCGGGCTGGTCAAGACGGAGTGGTCATTGTATTGTGGTCAAATGGCCGACGCTGTGTGCTGCCGCTTGCTTGCAATATTGATTGCCCTCCATTGCTTTGTCCGTTGGTCAGTTGGTGAGTAGTGTGGGTTACCAGTCAGTACCTGTAGCGCGCGGGGACGGGATACTCTGGGATGGAGAAACAAGGCTAGAACTACCAACGAAATGGTTCGTATTGGATGCGTACGAGAAATAGTTGCATTCTGTACACTGTTGGTGTTCGTGCGTGGACATGGCACCGGGACATGCAGCATTCTCCGGTAGCAATTTACTACACCTCTCTACGTATATTTACACTCATAATCAGTAATCATTGTTTTCTGCATGCCTCTTGGTGTCAACTCTCTCACTCTCTCCCGTTCGCACTCTCTCCCGCTCTTTGTCGTGTCTTTTTATTTTCTCTGTCTTTTTTCCCCTCTCTTTTTTCTCCCTCTCTTTGACATATTCAGCTCCCTTCTTCCTTCTCTGCGCTACATCACCTTCTATCTCTCTCAACAACACA